TCTCCTTGTGCTCTCAATCTTTCCCAACATCAGGGTCTTTTCCAGGGAGTCTTCTCTTCTCACGAGGTGGCCAAAGTATTGGAGGCTCAGCTTCACGATCTGTCCTTCCAGTGAGCACTCAGGGCTGATTTCCTTAAGAATGGATAGGTTTGGTCTTCTTGCAGTCCATGGGACTCTCAAGAGTCTCCTCCAGCACCATAATTCAAAAGCATCAATTCTTCAGCGATCAGCCTTCTTTATGGTCCAGCTCTCACTTCCATACATCACTACTGGGAAAACCATGGCTTTAACTATACAGACCTTTGTTGACAAGGTGATGTCTCTGCTTTTTAAGATGCTGTCTAGGTTTGCCATCGCCTTTCTCCCAAGGAGCAGGCATCTTTTAATTTCGTGACTGCTGTCACCATCTGCAGTGATCATGGAGTCCAAGAAAGTAAAATCTCTCACTGCCTCCATTGTGCGGTAGTTGGAGCATTCTTTGGCACTGCCCTTCTTTGGGATTGGATGTAGACTGATCTTCTCCAATCCTCTGGCCACTGCTGAGTTTTCCAAATTTGCTGGCATATTGAGTGTAGGACCTTAACAGCATCATCTTTTAAAATTTTAAATAGTTCATGGATCACTGCCTTGCCGTGGCAAAGGGGCTTGAATAACTCAGAGAAGCTATGAGCCATGCCGTGCAGGGCCACCCAAGATGGACAGGTCATAGTGGAGAGTTTTGACCAAACGTGATCCATGGACAAAGACAACAGGCATATAAAAAGTTTGTAAGTTTAAGGATGTGTTATACTAAAGGTGACCAGAATTTGGGTAAATAAATAAAATAAGGGAATCTACAAGGGCTTAGCCCACCCCCAGTCTCCATCATTGCCCCACCCCCGGAGATGTTTATTTACAAGTGTTTAACACTCTGGTGTTCCAATGACTTTCTACAACCCTGATGAAAAATCCCCTACACCTCCCTATGCCTCAGAATAGGTAATATTTGTGCTCTGGTTTCTTTTCTCTTTCCAATACCCTTTCCATTCCTGTGCAGTTACCTGTGCTGCCTCCAATGAAGCATTATTTACATCCTGATCTTGAGCTTTCCATATGGCTATCCAACTCCTACTGAGTTTTTAGGAAGGATTTGAAAGTAGGGGATGTTATCTCCTGAGGGTTAGGCTTGGTAGACTTGAAGCTTTTGGAGGGAGTGAAGTCCAATGCAGTATTACATCCTATTACAAGACTAAGAAAGAACCACACATAAGGAACTAAAGCTAGCCATAGTCAAGGATCCCAGTACATAGAATGAAAAAGTGAAAAGCTCCCTGACTAAGAGATAAAGTGATTTTGTTGTTGTTGTAAAGTTTAATCAAGTGAGATATAAGTAGCACATCTGAATTATTCACTCTGGCAGCATAACCTGGAGAACTTGGGGCAATTAATATCTAAGGCAGACTTACCCAGAATGAAATGTGAAGATTAGATCCAGACTGAACACATACACAAAAGTCTCAGAGAAAGGGAAATAAATAAAAAATGGAGCAGAAATATTATTAAAACTTCATATTTGCTGAAATTCATTGTTGAAGATACCGGGACCTTGGCTAGGTCACTGAAAACATTTGCTGTACTGTTTTTGCCTGCATTACTCTAAAAACAGTTTTGATGGCGTCAAGAGTTGCAGATTCTTTAAATCGCTTCCAGACCTCTCCCCTCCCCCCCCCCCGCTCGGAGATTTGATATTGCCTCTGCCATTTTCTGTAGAAAGCAACCAGGTTTGTGAGCCTCCCACAAGGTCGAAATCCACTGCTTGAGTATCAACTGACAAATATCTTTTTTGCCATTTACCAATTAATTGAGAAGTCTGCTAAGTTGTTGAGTAAACTAATTGTAAATGAGCACAGCACTTTGGGCTTCGCAGAATCTTTATTACTGTGGCTATGATAAATAGGCTGAGGGAAATCAAGCTATGCGCACATATCAGATCCTGGAGGCCTTATTTACAAACTGATTTTCAATGGCAAACAAACCCTCAAATATGCACTACTAAGCAAAATGTAGTAAATAGGCCAAATCTCCTACTGGGATTTTTCTGTATGAGGAGGAGGAGGAGGAGTGAATTGCAAACACAGTGACTCTTGTAGTTAGAAGAGTTACACAAGGGGAATACTGAAAAAAGCCTAGAAATTTCCAAAGAAAGAGATCAAATTTCACATGCTGGTAAGCTTGAGGGGGTATTTGTTTGTGTGAAGGAAACCAGCATCTTGGCTAATGCTTCTAATTAATGGGTGCCTGTTGCTCTGTTTCTGTATGTAAAGGCAAAACACAAAAGCAATGTTGTATTGTAAACAGTGCAGGTGTACAGATCACAAGTTCTGACAGATGGTGCAGTTGATTCTTGCACTTTTACCCACATCTCAGACGATAAAACACATAGCGGCAGTATTTTGTTAAGGTTGTTCGGAATTGTAGCTCTGCAATCTCATCATTTCTACGCAAGCAACTTTTTTTTAAAAAATGACATTAATAATCTCCCCACTAAGGGGTGGCAAACCCATGGACATTCAGATGTTGTTCAGCTACAACACCCATCATCCCTAACCATTGGACATGATGACTGGGGCTGATGGGACTCGAGTCTAAAAACATCTGGAGGGCCACATATTAGAGTTAGAGTTCATTCCACATCAGGTTGGGATGCAGGTGGCCTGGGGGTTAAACCACAGCCTAGGACTTGTCGATCAGAAGGTCGGCGGTTCAAATCCCCACGACGGGGTGAGCTCCCGTTGCTCGGTCCCTGCTCCTGCCAACCTAGCAGTTCAAAAGCACGTCAAGTGCAAGTAGATAAATAGATAAATAAATCTGGCGGGAAGGTAAACGGCGTTTCCGTGTGCTGCTCTAGTTCGCCAGAAGCGGCTTAGTCATGCTGGCCACATGACCCGGAAGCTGTACGCCAGCTCCCTCGGCCATTAAAGCGAGATGAGCGCCGCAACCCCAGAATCGTCCACGACTGGACCTAATGGTCAGGGGTCCCTTTACCTTTACCACATGAGGTTACACACACTGAGGAGTAAAAGAGGACATTCAAAATAGAATTTTACATAGTGGACAACTTTTAGAGACTTACTGGACTTCTCAGGGAGGAATCCTTGTTTATTCCATTGGTTTCAATCTGGGTGTCAAGTAACAGACTGGTTACAGTACCACCAATTGTATTATATTTTCAAATGAGATAAGAAAAATGGATTTCTGGACCAAAGCTCACAATTTTAAATACATTTATAAGTGAATAATAAAAAACTATCATCTAAAACGTATAAGCTATTATTGGAGTAGGAAGCAAAAGATTAACTGGTAAAAGCTTCAATGACTCACTGGGCAACTGAAATAGGGCATAATATAGAATTTGACCTCTAGGAGAAATTGTGGAAGAAAGATTTCAAATTTACTGTATGCTACACTTTGAAGGCGAATTATATGAAAATAATTCATAGATGGCATTTAACACCAAGTAGATTAGCTAAGATGTTCAAATCTGAATCTGATCCATACTGGAAATGTAAGGAAACAGAAGGAACTTTTTGTCACATGTGGTGGGCATGCAAAAAAGTTAAAGAATATTGGGAAATTATATATAATGAGATGAAAAAATTGTTTAAAACAACATTTCCCCCCAAACCAGAGGCATTCCTGTTAGGAATGGTTGAGAAGGAAGTAAGCAGGTGTCAGAATTTTTTTTTATGTATGCAACAACAGCAACTCAGATTTTGTTAGCCCCAAAATGGAGGGTGAGTTAGGTCCCTAATAAGGAGGATTGGCAAGTTAAGATGATAGAATATGCAGAGTTAGCAGGTCTAACAAGCAGAATAAGAGAGCAAGAACAGGAGGTATTTAAATAGGAGTGGAAATTTTTTGTTGAGTATGTGGAAAATAATTGTACGCAGTTGAAAACGCTGGCAGTATTAAGGTAAATTCAACAGTATAATATATTTAAAAGGGTGTAAAATGGGGGGAGAATTGATTAGGGGGGATATACAATAATATGCAGACATTATGGGTAAATTAAAAGAAACTTGGAAAGGGAAGAAGGGAAGTCATTGAATGCATGGGTATAATGAAAGATGTTAATATGGAAGTGTAAAACCTGAAAACTTTAATAAAAATTATTATAAAAAAACAAAATAGAATTTTACAAATTTACAAATAGATTAAGCTTAATGTGGTCTTATTTATCTGGATTCTGATATTTCTCATTCTTTCCCACAATCCCTAGTAGCTGCCATTTCAATTTGTCCAGATTTTTTTTTAAACCAACAATGCTTCCCCGTCTCAATAAAACAAAACAAAAAACATAAAGGGATTTTCAAAGAAACAACCTGCAAATAACTCTCCAGAACCACCAGAGCAATCCTTGTAAGTAAACTCTTCCACAACATTCAAAGTCATACACACACCATTCAACATACAGTGGTACCTCGGGTTACTTACGCTTCAGGTTACATACGCTTCAGGTTACAGACTCCGCTAACCCAGAAATAGTACCTCAGGTTAAGAACTTTGCTTCAGGATGAGAACAGAAATAGTGCTCCGGCGGCGCGGCGGCAGCAGTAGGCCCCATTAGCTAAAGTGGTGCTTCAGGTTAAGAACAGTTTCAGGTTAAGAACAGACCTCCGGAATGAATTAAGTACTTAACCCGAGGTACCACTGTACTACATTGCCTAGTCTCCCAAGTAATCATCAGCACAGGAGCAGAGGCAGATTTAGAGCAGAGCAACTGGTTCCGCCACACTGGGAGCTGAGTCTAGGGGGTGCTGCCGAGTGTCACAACTATGACGTGGTGAATTGAGCAGAAGAGAAGGGGGGGGGATTTTGGCCTTGTACAATGTACTGCTGAAATCTGAAAGACCAAAGTGTGCCCCTGGGAAGGGGCTGGGAGGGCTCATGAAACTGGCAGATCTTTGCTCACATGCTGGGACTTTCTTCCTCTCCAACAGCAGTAGTATCACTGCTGTCGAATGGTGGTCTGTCGGAATGGTTTTGGAAAATTTAGGTACCTGTATTGGTATATTAGGGGAAACCCCAATAACTACACTAGAGTTATGTTTACCCATGGGAGCTCCCCCCCCCCGAACTACTGAAGCATGAGGACGGGGGTGGGAAGGGAAGTTCATCAGGATCAAGGTTGGAGAGAGAACGATTAGACCTCCCCTCCCTGTACCCTGTTGTCCTAATGAAGATTGGGGAGGGGGGCACACCTGTAATTAAATTAAGAAAAATCCCAGATGCAGCTGCTAATTACACATTTAGACTAACGTGTAGTTTGGCCCTCAGGGCCTGTTGTGATGGTGTTGTTGGTGTCTCTGAAGCTCTTGGCAGGAGCAGGGATGGTCTTGACTCAATACGATTTCCATTTTTCAGTATCTGCACCCTCTGTGCTCATTTGACTCCTCTGCCAATATGTATGCATTATGTTGCTGGAAAATGAATAAAATGGAATCCAGATGGCAGCTCTCTGTGCTATTGATTTGACATTTGCAAGCTAAAATAGGAACTTAGGAAGCCAGCATAATTATAATTTCCCCCCTCTATTTTTGAATCCTGTTTCTGAACCTTTAGCAGCAGATATTTTGTGGGTGAAACTCTTTTCCTGGTGTGGGGTAAATTGATGTGGAAAACTGCTCAATTTCTCTTTGTTGGTTTGCTGTTGAATGCAGAAGGGTACAGATGGGGGAGGAAATTGATTTAGTTTGCATTTAAAGCTGAAATTCCCTAATTTGCACTTTCCGAAATTATACAACAGGGGTCAGCAAACCTTTTCAGCAGGGGGCCGGTCCACTGTCCCTCAGATCTTGTGGAGGGCGGGACTATATTTTTTTTGGGGGGGGGATGATTGAATTTCTGTGCCCCACAAATAACCCAGAGATGCATTTTAAACAAAAGCACATATTCTACTCATGTAAAAACCCAGGCAGGCCCCAAAAATAACCCAGAGATGCATTTTAAATAAAAGGACACATTCTACTCATGTAAAAACACGCAGATTCCCGGACCATCTGCGGGCCGGATTTAGAAGGCTGTTGAGCCGGATCTGGCCCCTGGGCCTTAGTTTGCCTACCCATGCTATACAAGAAGTGAAACACAGCCGTCCTTTGTAAAAAGTTTGTAAAAAGAATGAGAATCCGGGGGATACCAGATTTTACAGATTTGCCCATCCCAACTGAAGAGCAGGGCCTGTAAAATGTCTTCAGTGCTAGCAGTCTTGAAGATGAGGATTTTGCAACGCTTTAGTGGTGCTACAGATGAGACTTGGAATGACATCTATTCACCACAGCGTAGTGGGAGTGCTTTGGTTTGATCACCCATTCTTTCATCTCATATCAAATGCTTTGGAAGGCTGTGAATCTGTGTTCAAGCCACTTTCACAGCACTATGGAACTTCCTACAATGTTGTGAACTGACAGGACAGCGGGGAGGGAGAAGAGTATCCCATCGAGGGGTGTAGCTATGACTGGGACACACCAGTGCAGACTAATGATGGAGAAAGGGGGTGAGGGCTTGGGGCTTAGGAGGTACTCATAGGATGGCAAGGGGGCAGTGGTCAGTTCACAGGAACCAGAGGAAGGGGACACTTTAAGAAAAACACTGGGGCCTAATTTGATTAGTAGAATGCCTGGCATCTGGTGGGCGGGGCTTCTGCGCTGTGCTCTGGAATTGGCCCCTCCCTCCGGGTGTTCCGTTCAGTTCAGTTAGAGAGACCAACTGCCGTTCTCGCCTCACGATGTTGTTTTAGTTTCTCTCAGACAGTGTGTTATGGTGTTACAGTTTTCTTTATTATTAAAGAAAGCTTTGTTTGACATATACATGAGCCGCTTATGTTGCTGAAAGAAAAGAAAATAAACTCTGCTGAAGAAGGGTGGAATATCCTCAAGTTGGGTGAGTTAAGGGATATTCACAGTCTGACAGGAGGACTGATTTTTTAAAATCACCCCCACATCACCAGAGCCAGAGGGGCCCCCGTCTCTGTGAACACAGCCGGCTCTGAGGTGTCAGGAACAGCAAGAGACTGAAGCAAGCAAGGGAACACAGCCCAGCTCACTGACCAGGTGGGGCTCATTAGCTCTGGGAGGAGGGCTGTGGCCCCTCAGCTGGATTAGGCTCAGGGCAGGGGAGGGTCACATGCCTCGTCAAGCCCAGATGCTTCATTCAAGATCCAAGGGATGCAGGCAGAGGCTCTCAGTTTGCTCAGCTTTCCCTGTTGATGGACCCTGGCTTGGGTGTTTCAGGAGCTCTAAGGGACTTTGCTTTTCAGGACTGCAGCAGTGGGAGCCTGGCCTGACTGCTGAATTTTGGACTTGGCTCACTGTATCGAACCGGGACCGTTTTTCTCAACCTGTTGGATTGCCAAACTGCTCGCTAGCATCCACCCTTGGAACTGTACACCAGCAGGACTTGCTGTCAGGTACGCCGCGGTTCAAGACATACAGCTCCTGTTGTTAATCAGAAGCTATGCTTTTTTTCTGTTTTAAACATCCACACATCCCTTTAAGTGCAGGAGAAGATATCCCCCCCCCCCCGGGCCCACCACCCTATACATGTGTCAGTGTGACCAAAGAAGGAGTTCAAAGTTAAAATTTTGGAGGAATTATGCCCATATGCATGTCAATTCATGGAAAATATTGTGGAGGGGTGATGGTAAATTCACTTCAAAGTTTAAATAAGCTTGGATAGTATTTTAAATTGCTGGGAGCTTCAATAGCAGTTTTAATCCCTCTTATTGTGTGGTCATTAACCAGTATAAAATGGTATAGAAGTGTCTTTCTGTCCTTCATTCACCCCCCCCCCCAAAAAAATATTTTTTTTCACTTGCTTACACAAGAAGCACCTTTCTGCCCTTCATAAATGGCCACTAAGAGCTGGAAAGAGGTGTTTTAAATGGCACAGTTGAAGCCAGTCTAAAATGTTGTCTTGTGTCCATTTAAGCAGTAAAAGTTGCCTCCCCTTCATTGAAAACAATAGTTACTAAATGAAACAATTTGCTTTTAGAACATTGAATGATACATTTCTCTTTAAGTTCTTTTTAACTTTCTGCTATTTGTATTGTTTCTAAAGAGCGCCTATTGTTCTACTTGCTGTGAATATTTTTTGTTTCCAATATCCTTGAGTGGAGAGAATATGTTACAGCAGCTCAATGGTACAACAGTTCGTGATTTATCTATCAAAGGTATTTATAGAGCAGTAGCCACCATAATGTTCAAGCTTTGCCTCTACTTGCTATCTAGATACAAACAGAAAAATCTTTTGCTGGTAGCAAATTTAATATTCAACCCCTGATGTTCTAGGGGCCTGGAATTCATGCAGCTATTTAAAAGTGAAATTGATTGTAAAATGATTTAGGGCAAAAATTGGAAATTTCTGTAAGATTAGAAAGAATTGGTGTGATAATTATTGATGGGCAGTTTTTTCTGGGCTCAATTTAGAAGTGGTCACCTAAAACAAGGCTGCAGAAGCTATGGTAGATTACAATTAATATCATCTTTGACCATGCTGTTGAATCTGATGGGAACTGGACACAAACAACAGCTGGAGGATTGCTAGTTCCCCAATTATGGCCTAAAACAAGCCCAGTTCATGCTGCAACCAAATGACCTCATTTTAAATAAACCCCTGATGTTGCCCTTTCTTCTCCTAACATTCTCCTCAACAGACATTAAGCTCTTTTGTGTCCATCCACATTTGTGTCCATGTGCACACTTTTTGGACCTTTAAAAATTGTGGTTTGCTTGACTTTTAGGAGACATCTGAAGGCAGCCTGAAGGCACTTTAGGGAAGTTTCTAAGGACTGATGTTTTTATTAGGTTTTTAGATATGTTGTAAGCCACCCAGAGTGGCTGGGGAAACCCAACCAGATGGGCGGGGTATAAATCATCATCATCATCATCATCATCCGTTTGGTTTCACAGTATAATACTTCCCAGAATCCATGAGTACCAGGGACAGGAAGTGTGCATTGTTGCATGACAGAGCATATGCTCTGTATTTAGATGGTCACATGCTTATTTGATTCAGCACGTAATTAATTAATGAAACTCACTTGCAGAAGATGGATTGAGGGGCACTAGCTTTAGATAGGTCTAAAAGAGGACTGGACAAACATTGTCCTTATCAGTGGCTACTAGTCATGATTGTTTTATACAGCCTTGTGACTCAGAGACAGTATGCTGCTGAGCACCAGCTGCTGAGGAGCAATAATGAGAAAGGGCGATTGTTCTCTAGTCCGGGCTGTGAGCTTTCCATACATATCTGGCTTGTCATGTGGGGTAACAGGATGCTGGACAAACTGGAGAATTGGTCTGACCCAACACCAGCAGAAGTTTTTATTTTTGCCAAATTTAATACAAATCCCTATACACCAAGCTGGGTGGTGGTAGAATAAGTGAAGGTGCCCCTCTGCCCAACTCTCCTGGCTAAGTCAGCCTTCTGTTGGCAATCCTCAATCGGTGCCAACCTTCTCCTTTTGCCGGTCAAATGTGAATAGGCAGGAGGGCCTCTGGCAGGATCCCCACCAGTGGAAGGCCCTGAAACAGGGCATTCTGAGGGAGGGAAGGGGTTGAAACAGCCCAAGATCTGTTGGATTCCAAGCTAGTTTCACTGGCATCGTAAGATAGCACGGAGCCCCATCCAGGCTTGATTGCTGTGCCATGCATGGCAAGGCTGTGGATACAGTAGTTGCTCTGCTGCTCTGTAACAGCCTTAGTAAAGCAGCCTAATTCATTAAATTCATAACTAACTTCTCAGCAATTTCATACGTCCGTTAAACAAAGCAAATGTAGCACTTCACGAGAAGTTTCCAAGAAGTCAATAGCAGGTAGGGGGGGTGGGAATCTGTTGCTAGACTACAGCTTCCACCACCCCTGACCATTGACCTAGTGTGTTGGGGCTGGTGGGAGTTGTAGTCCAACAACAGAAGAGCACCCTCAGGTTTCCCACAGGGAGCAATGTTGTGCAGCCAAACCAAATTCAAAAAGCCTGTGCCTAAATACCAAGCACATAACTCCACCCTTGCAAAAGTTGAACTATAATTGGCAAGCTCTGACAGTGCAATTTTTAAATGCATGCACACATAGAGAGAGAACTGTGGAAAAGTTGGAGAGAATTATATTACTAGAGGAAATAGGTTGTGAGAACAAATTGGAGCACTATCTTAGGAACGGTGGATTTAATGGAAGTGTAGGAAACCATAAATAGCAAAGATGGCTATAAAGTTCTCTCTTCGTTTCCAGCAAAGAAAAATTAAATAAGAAGAGTGAATAACTTGCCTGTCAAACTTTTAAGGTGTTGGCCTTGGGGTTATTCCAGAAGGAGCCGGAGGCAAGCCTCCAGGAGATGCTGCGAAAGTAGGGCAGCTGCAGAAAATCATGGACAAATGAGGTGTGTGTATGTACATTTACACTATGCTCTTCTGTTGGCCTTCCCCTTGTATGTTTTTTCCATTTTTAAATCAATCAAAAGCTCGCCTCCTCCCATCACAACGGCAAGTAAAAGCTATAGAGAACACTTCTGTGAAAACCGTGGCTTTGTCATTACAATGCCACATTTAGCAATTTAAGCCCAGGTCCCCTGTTGCGATTTAATTTTTGAATGAAGCTATGTATGATTCCCAATCATGGTTTTCTGAATGAGCAGAAGGCACCATTTCCTGTAGAAACTGAGCAATGATCATGAGCCTCATTACAACAGGCAAGATCTAGTCAAAAGTTAAGTGTTTGTTGTCCCACTGCTTTCAGCAGAGGAGAAAGAGGGGTTCAACAACCAATTTCCTGCATACTACACGAGTGGAGCAGACTGCTTTGTCATAGGAACAGCTGCCCAGCTAAGTTTTCTCCATGGTGGGGTGCCATTGAGGCGGAGCTTTTGGAGCATTGCAGCAGGCCTGTCCCACTGAATCAGGAGCTGGAATCCTTTCTGAGCCCAAGTAGGGAAGCAGTCTACCCCCACCACAAGGGGCTGCATGTCAGCAGTAGGCTCCGTTCCAGCTATGCAAAGCCAGAGGTTTCTATGGCCTCCCATCTTTCCACCCACTTAAGCAAGAAGCGATATCAAAGTCTGAGGAAGAATTCTAGCCAGCCAAAAGCACGTGAGGGCGTAGAGTACAGCTGGTGAGGGGTATGACATGGAGAGAGTCTGGTGTGGGGGGTGCCAACCTGAATAAAATACTGAGGCAGCTGATAAGCCCCAACACACACAACTGATCACAAGACACAGCACACTCACACCATTGGAATGGCAATGCCCATCAACTTGGGGGGGGGGTCCCTTCAAACATTTTTTGGCAGGGCGAAGGGACCTTGGCCCCTAGGAGTTGGCTCCTATGGTCTGGTGGGTTGCACTTGATACGTGGGCTGGAGGTTCCCAACCCTGTCATAAAACCCAAGGGTTATAACTAACTTAAGTTGTATTCCGAGTTGACCTATTGACTCATAATCACAATCTTCTTCTAGTCAGATAGCTGCCTGTGGAAATGTTACTCTAGCCCATCTTCATTCATTTTAACATGCTCTTTTCATATCTAATGAAGTGAAATGTAAGTCACTTGGCTTTTGTAAATAAAAGATGCAGCCAGGATTGTTATCTATACACAGCATTTCCTACAAAGTGAGGCAAGTTCTTAAGAGTAGATGTTGCTCTCAGATGTAGTTATTATAGTTACAGAGCTTGGTAAACCTTTCTCATCTCTTCCTATTACTAATGTATAAAGATAACATCATTTTGCTCAGCTAAGCAGCTTGAATACAACTCAGAGGATGGTGAGATATGATGGTAAGATATCAGATAGGATGGTGATATACAACCATGAAGAGGTATGTGGGAGAGAATAGCTGTTTTTTTGTTCTCATTATATTATAACAAGAAACGTACCTAGTTGTACTTCACAGAGATAAGGAGAGGGTTGCTGGAGAAAGGATTTCTGCAGTTCCAGAGCAGGGCTGTACTTGCAAAATGCATTGCTGTCCAGAAGCTTTGAACCTAACATGATACCCTCTGGATGTTGTGGATTATTCCCATTATCCCTGATTATTGGCCATGCTGCCTGGGCATGAAGGGAATTCTATAGGCATTCAAAGTCTGGAATAAGGAGTGGGGAATTTGGATTTTTAAAAGAGTGCAGAAATGTAGTTTGCTATTGTAGATTTTCTTGAATTGAACAGCTATGAAGAATTAGCAAAATATGCACCTCCCTCTGTGGTTTGTATACAAGTGTAAACATAAATGTCCATTACCATTTTATCTTTTTACAGTACATTTATGGCCTGTTTCCATTCTCAGAAAATCATATGCATTCCCTTTGGTTTTAGAAGCATTACCCTAATTATCACAGCTTTCTAAATACTTAGCATAATGGCTTATAGTGATATATACTTTTTTTAAAGTACAGCACAGTGCCTGTTTAACATATAATTCTAAGAAATAATTCTAGTATGATGCTGCTAATTAAAACTCAGCATCACATACACACTCTGATTATTTTAGTCCTCACTCCAATGTGTGGATTTACTACTTACAATGCAGCTATAATCGACAGAAATGGATGTGTTTACTTACAGGAATGCACATCATTAATAACCCCAAGTAATGTCTTTAGTGTACTTTCACCATTAACTACTGCCATCTGTTGAAAAACAAGGATTCTGTGATTCTCAGTAATCCATTCTAATTTTCTGACTCTTCCAACTTCATCCAGTTTTCCATAAATTTTAAGCGAGAGGTGTGTAACCCTCATTTTTAAAGTGATGCGCTTGATTTTTCCAGTTTATTTGTTATACGAATGTATTTATATAGCACCCTCTCACAAAATCTCCGGGCAGCGGGCAGTGCACATCAGTGTAAAAATGTTTTTTAAAAACCCAATTAAAAGCAGTACAGAACAGTACAGAATTAGGTGAACTATATAACCCAACCGCATTACAATTCTCAGATGACATCTGAATGTATATGATGTGCCGCTTCTTTGTACTGGTTTTCAGATGAACTCCTCCCCTATATTTTGATCATTTTAAGTCTTTTCATGACCTCACTGTAAAGGAAAGAAAATGCAGGGGTTGATCTAGCCAAAAGATAAGGACTTTAATGTGCCATGTATGTCAGTGGAAAGTTAAGACTGTTGATCTGCCACTTAGACTTTGCATCCTAATTATGCAGACGTCTAGAGACCTGGGCAGGTACAAGCAAAGCGGACTGGAAGGTGGGTCCAAACTGTCATACTGTCCTTCTACATATTTTAATGATACCTTTGAAGTGGGGTTGGAGACAGGCACAGACGCAAAAAAAGAGAAAAAGTACAGCTGTGGCAATTGCCTAATTAGCCGCTGGGCAGATGTTGACAGGAAATATAGATTGGGAACTTTGTATTTTGTGATTATGAGCAGGAGGTGAGGCTGATGAACGGTAAGTAACTGAACTTGATAGGGCCCTTAATGCTTTCTGCTTCAAAAATGTCCAAAGAGATTTTCAAATGGCTTTTGTATTTATTAAGAGTTTCCAGATAATTATTAAGGGACACAAAGGTCAGGATGTTCCAGCTGCCTAACAAAGTAATGTAAATGAAAGAGAGGGTCCTGAAATGTAAAATAAAATATTATTGCTAATGCTAATGCTAATAGTACTGCTGCTAAGAATAATCATTAATGAAATAACATCAGTTGCCTACAAGTAGGGTACAAGTAGACCAGGCTGAGAAAGGTACACCTACAGTAGTTACTTTAACTGGAAAATAAAAGCAGAGTACATTTGTAATGATATTAGGAATTTTATAAGGGGTAGGTAGATACGGCTAATGAGTCCAGCTTAATGTGGCATTTGAAATAGTTGTGCTTCGTCAATGTGCCCTAGAGGTTTCTGGTCCTGCCTCATCAACCATTATTATAAGGACTCTACAAAAAACAAGTTTTTTCTTTCTCTCTCCTCAGGGTGGTATGTACGTATCCACAACGTTAAGCTCTTGTTTTGGACTTTGTGGAAGGGCTTAAAAACAAGCCACAACTGCTACTGAATGCTATTTCAGGAATAATAAAATTTGTATGCATATTACAATGAATATAAAGAGTTTGATGGATATTGACATTCCCATGTAAAAGCTGATAATCCCAGCAGAATGTTCTGAATGCCCAAATATAGCTCCTCACTTTTTGAACATCTACCAATGAGCAAGGTTACAATCATCATTCAGTAGTGTATCTCTGAGCTGTTGGACATTCAATTCATTTGTCTGGTGTTGACTATCACATGTGAGTGCTGACAACACTCATCAGGTTTTAGATGTTTACTGCAGTAAAGACATATAGTGTACTTACACTGAATTGAAGGGCATTCCTAGTTCTTGTGTTGGAATTCCAGCCTGGATCTGAATAGTGGCAGATAAGATCTGAGGTCAGTGGTATGCAATTGTATAACATTTTCTTCACCAAAGAGGAATTACTTAGGAATGCAGTCCTATTTCTGTTCACCTGAGAGTAAGCCTCATTAAATTCAATAGGACTTACACATCTTAGTAGACATGTAGAGCAAGAGTAGGTAGCCTTTTGGAGTTAAGGGTTGCATTCATTTGTGGGAGTATGATTGGGGTCAAAGGAAAAAGTGAGGGGGGCACCCCTTCTTATTGTTCCCCTATCCATTCTCTTTTTCTTCCCCCATCCCAGTCTATTCACACAAGAACACAACACTCTCCTCTTCGTTCATCTAACATCTATTCATTCTTTCTCAAGAGTTGCACTGAAGGTGGTGGGAGTTGTCTACATGTGATGCATAGGACTGCACTGTAAATGCTATTTCATAAGGTGGCCATTTACACATTGCCAAAAAAATATGAAAATGATCACACACAAAAAAAAGACTGACAGAAGAGGACACAGATCTGCATAGATCTTGCATAAATCTGTGGATTAAACCACAGAGCCTAGGACTTGCCGATCAGAAGGTCGGCGGTTTGAATCCCCGTGATGGGGTCAGCTCCCATTGCTCGGTCCCTGCTCTTGCCAACCTAGCAGTTCGAAAGCACGTCAGAATGCAAGTAAATAAATAGGTACCGCTCCGGCGGGAAGGTAAACAGTGTTTCTGTGCGCTGCTCTGGTTCGCCAAAAGCGGCTTAGTCATGCTGGCCACATGACCTGGAAGCTGTACGCCGGCTCCCTTGGCCAATAAAGCGAGATGAGTGCCGCAACCCCAGAGTCGGCCACGACTGGACCTAATGGTCAGGGGTCCCTTTACCTTTATAATTACAGTACTACACTTTAAAAAGAA